TATACATGTCACAAAAATGGGCAGAATCTGACATTAATTGTATATTTAGACTAATTATTTTGATTTTATTATACATCATTGTTGAAGTCTGCAATCAGTGACTGTTCAAGCAGAGTACACTTGTTTAAGTTTATTTCATTTGTAAATTAAATTGTCTGAAGATTAAAGCAGTCTAAAATCAAATGATTGACATTTTTCTTTAGATAAATCTCACATTTATTATTGTTTTTCAAGTTCACTACTCTGAACTTGATTTTGAATGCAGTAAGATGACTGAAGATCAATTTTTTCAGTGACATTTTCATGAAATAAAATCTGAAAATCTGATTAAAAATAATAATTATCATGTTTTTTTGCAAGTTTTTATACTTTTGTATTTTCATTCAAAATGACAAGCTTTTTGCTGTAACTTGTTTGATGACTGCAATGAAGAACATTAATTTTTTATTAGTACATTCATGTAAATGATTTGTGATAAAAACTTGAGCTTTTTCAAATTGATAAAAAATCAGTGTGAGCTGATATTTTTTTATGATAAAAAGTTTGTCTGTAACACTCTGAATGATTTCTTTGAAGTCATTTTGTATAAGTTATTTTTTTGTGTCATGAGAAAAAACTTCTCACAAATCTTGATTGTCTAAAATCAGATAAAGTGCATTCACAAATTGATGATGTGAGATTTTGTCAGTTTTCTGAAGTTTAATAAAAAAATGTGCATAAAGTCAAATTTTATCTGAAAATTTGTGTAAAATGTTATCAATATTTTTTACATCTTGAACTGCTTTTTGGATCAGTTTTATTTTTGCTTGATTCTGAATGACTCTCTCATCAGTCACAGTGACATTTATGATTTTTTTTGATTTAGTTGTAATCACTGTTGACTGTTGTGTAGACTCTCACTTGTCATCTCAATCTGTTTTTGTTTTTTTGTGTTTTGATTTTGACAGTGAGTCATCTGAAGCATTGTTTGCACATTCTTGCTGATCACAAATTTTTTTTGATTTTAAAATGTAGATTTCAATTCAAATAAACAATGTTTGTTCATCAGCATTGAATTCATTGATTTCATTTAGTTTTTTAGATGAAACAAAACAATCTTTGAACTGTTGCTCATCAGATAGACTTTTCTTCAATGAATAATTTTCAGTTTAATGCATTTTGTTACAAATCTGACAAAGTTTTGCAGATGCTTTTTTTTTTTTTAATTTTTAGCAGTTTTTTCTTGTAGATTTTTCTGAGCAATTTTTTTGATCATTCATTTATTTTTTTTGCACTGAGTTTTTTGCTTTAGTCAGTTAATTTTGTCTTGCACATCATCTGCTCAGTTAAAATCAGTTTTGAATGTTGATGATGTGTCAGAATGATCACTGTTTTCTGAGTTTAAAAATATATTTTTGTGTAAGTGTAAAAGTTTTAGTTAATTATTCATTACTGATTTATCAGCTTGTTTTAAAACACTTTCTTCATTATTTTTTTTTTTGAAATTGATTGCTTACTAATGCAGAAGACATTTGAGCAGTATCAGTGAACAAAAATTTTTGTATTTGCAACATTTCAGATGAGTAAGCTTTCAGTTTTATATCTCTCAATGTGTTAATTAGCTCTAGTTTTCTCTAAGCAATTAATTGTGATTGATTTACTTAGCTACTCTGCACACTGCTATTTTATTCACACATTATTTATTATGAATGCAGACAGTGAGAGATGTGATGATAAAGATTGCTGAACAGCTAATTGACTGAGCAGTTTGAGTCTTGTAAATCAGATTCAGATTTGTTGTGTGTTATTTTTTGCTTCTCTCTCTGAAGCTTTTATGTCTCAATGAACATCTGAGCTTGTTGAAGATATTAAACTCACTAGACTCACTGTGTTGAGATGTGACACTTGTAGCTGAAGCAGAAAGGTGACAATTCTCTCTGTCCATAAGGGAACTTGTAAATAGCTCTTTCAGGTGTTTTGTAAAGAGTATTCAATATCACTGTATGTATTCAGAGATATTGCCCGCAAGATTCCCTCGCGGGTTCAAAACAATGTCTTCAGCAGACATGGAGCTCGCTGTTAAACGTTTCTTTTCATCCCCGCGCTTCGCTGTGGCGGGTGCAAGCACCGACACGAGCAAGTATGGCTATAAGCGTAAGTACTTCTCATTCTGGCCTGAATATCTACCGTCCAGTCCTAATCGAGTGACCAGTACTCGCCTGGTACCACCAGCACTCACTGCCAGTAACCCCACTAAACCCCAAATCTCCTGAGATCAAGCTCCCCTCAAAAGCTTATGCCACCGTGAAATCGCCCTCTGAGCTTTCTTCTCCAGTGCAAACGTCGCTGTCGATTGTCACGCCACCAAAGGTGACGCGGGAGATTCTGAAGGAGGCACATGCAGTGAAGATTCCGGCTGTGTGGCTGCAACCAGGCACATTTGACGATGAGATCCTCGAGTATGCAAAGAAGAATTTTGAGGCGGCGATTGGCGGCGCAGGTGGGAGTGGAGATGAGGGCTGGTGTGTACTGATGGATGGTGAAGATGGCTTGAAAGCAGCAGGCGTGAATTGGACATTGCAAAAACTGTAGTTGGGACCTTGTATTGTGAAGTCGTTAAGTGTCTTTTTTTTTTTTCAGTTACTATGGAATTTGTCGCAACTTCTAGTGTATTCTGCACTCCCATTCATATGGAACCTGAAGAGCAGTGAGTTAAAGAAATAGAAAAGTGATGCTTAGCTACATACAGTTTCTCCATACAAGGTGATGGAGAACAAAGTCAGAAAGCAGGTTGCTTGGGCGGCCTCACTAGTTAGTTATTTAAATAACTTGCGGAGAGCACCCTCTAACAAAAAGCAACACATTGGTTGCCATAACCATCTCCGCAACCCTCTTGACAGCTTCTTCAGTGAAAAGGACTTACATACATCTACTTTGTTACTGAGAATGGAGTAAGCTGTCACAAAACTCCCTTATTTCCCATTTTCTCCTAACTCCGCATCATCAATCTCTCTGTTTTCTTCAAGCCTTCGCATCAACTTGAGCACCAACCACGACGACCAAGCGCGGCGTATTAAGACAATTATGACTCTCTCGGAATCACCTATGTCTGGCGATTTCTTTCTCGACAGTCCCGTCCCTCCGAAACTCGACCTTACTGGCGCTCGATCTCAATTTTACCGCTCTCCACGCACCCCATCTGCGACGTCATCACTCTGTCGTTCAGTTACATCATCAGCACTCGCTGGCAGTCGCAAGCGCCCAAGATATGGCTACAATGATCTCGATAGCCATCAGACATTCGGCGGCTTTGACGATCGCATTTCATGGGGAGAAGACCAATCAACTCAGTTTAATGATCCGACTAGCCCCGCTCCACTTGTGAATACGGACTATCGATTAGCTGGCGGCGGGTTGGAATCACATAAGTTATCCCTAGCGACTGCGACGACGGCTTTGGAGTACGATGATAATGGCGCAGAACTGGATTACAGACCTAGTCGATACTCTACCTTTCCGATGACTATCACTAGTGAGAGAAACAAGAGAAAGCGCGAAAGGCCGCCTTCGTCCGGAAATGATACAGAGCAAGCTGATGGCCCGTCTTCGCCCTCATCATCTGGATGGGGGAGGGCGATGATAAATTTAGTCGGAGGAGTCGCAGGAAAAGTATGGGACTTCTGTTGGTCAGGCGCATTTCGCGGGTTTTATGCTGGTGGAGGAAGAGGTTACGGCATGGACGCATCTGCAGCCAACGCATTTACCACACCGTCTCTTGACCAAAGTGCCTGGGAAAAATTAAATCAGACCAGCGATTTGTTTGACAACAAGCACGTTAAACCCAACGATAATCTTGTTAATGGCTGGCAGCAAGCAGACAACGACTGGGTTTTGGTTAAGAATGAAAAAGATTTCGTTGAAACTAATTCGTCATCTGTATTTGGCAAAGTTCCCCGGCGAACCGGTGTAATGCGCCATGTTGGATCTCGAAGACCAGCCATCAGAGCTGTTCCAAAAAGACCTAGCTTAACTCCTATCAAGCCCTCCTCGATTTCTCATCAGGCTTCGTTCACTCCTTCAACCAATTCCCAAACTGCTAACAACCCTTCAAAAACTTCAAAAGAGAGTCCACTGGCTATCGAAGCTCAGCGATACGCTGCAAAGGTACGTCGGCGGGAAAGAGAGGAGGACGCCAGTATTCGCCGACTGAATCAACAACTGAAAGCTATGATTCGGGAAGGAAAAGAAGCATTGGGGACAAAAATTGAAATTGATGACTCCATGGATGTGGATGAGTTTGAATGAATGGCGGGCTCGTATATGCAGTCTCCTTAGTTCGGCCGCTTCAAGCGTGCTATCGTTAGGACATACTCCATTCATATCCACGCCTTTCTCAAAACTCGTTGCACATGCCGATTAAGATTCTGGCAGTTGAATGATATTATGACCTTGCGTACTCATTTATGGCTGTTCTTATGTTCCTTCTGGTTTTCTGAAAGGATGTTCACATAAGCAGCTGATGGACTTATTGCTCTTGGACAACCATCGGCTAGGCTTGCTCCCACACGCCTCGACTTCATTTCTACTTCCTCACAGTGCTTTTACGGACAGAATACCTTCGTTTCCGCAAGATAACACCCGCATATCGCCTTCCACTCAGAATTGCCCTTTATTCTCCCTTTTCCTCTCGATGCTGTAATCTGCTTACGATCTGTTTCTAGAAATAGCGGAGGTGTATCTAGGGCAGGATGAGCTAACAAGTTGATTTTAATTCCAATGTCTCTTTTCCCTTAGTTCTTGGGCGGTCTCTTCCTTTTAAACAGTTTCTTGTCCACATGGACTGTCATAGATTAGGTAGTACTAGTCATCATTAGTTATATAATAACCCAAGGCTTTTTCTTCCCACTAACTAATAGTTAAGCAAAGCACAAAAAATCCGCCCTACCCATTATCCCAATAGTAAACTGTCGATATTGGCTGCAACAAACACCTGATAGTGAAAAATATAAAAACCAAAGATGCGACACCGATGGGATTCGAACCCACGCATCCGAAGATACGAGCTTATCAGACTGCAGCAATACTGTGTACTTAGCAGGCCCGCGCCTTAGACCACTCGGCCACAGTGTCTTAAGATGACAGGTTTTTGATCATAACTTTATCACCATATTGCTTTTTGACCCTAAAACAGGCTTCACTCTGTTGCTCAATCCTCAGAGGTTTCACATAACTAGTCCACATGGTCCTCTCATGCTGGCTACTCTGATAGCTACTAACTATCTAATCGTTTCGATCCATGCTCGTCAAAAACTGGCATAATCGGATTTAGACCACATCCTTGAACACAACATCGGAGGAAAGGAGGGCCCTATAATTTTGTACATCAATGCCTCCATTCGTACCGCGCAAGGACCGAGATCCTGGAGATTATCCTTCAAAGCGTGGATTATTAGAGGCTTTGGACGCCCCCCCAAAATCAGCTACACTGGAAGAACTCAAGAACCGCAAGATTTCTACGGAGACTGACTCGGCGTCCTTAAGTTCCTTATCCAGTTTAGTATCGCAAAATGGAGATGGCGAGGTCGAGTATGACACTGATGATGACGATGAGGATGAAGTGAATTGGGAAGACGCCTTTGCAGGTGCATCTGCTTCCGCCACAGTTCCGGCTCCTGAGCTGCGAGATTTGGATATCACCCTGGAAAAGAGCCAAAGTGCACTAACTGAATCACTTGGAGCCAAGAAAGGCCCAAGCAAGATTGAACGATTTATCAGGATTCAAACGCATTGCATGCACGTGCAATTTCTTCTGTTCCATAATGCTATTCGAAACTCCTGGATCAATGATCCTGAGATTCATGAGATACTGCGCAAAAAGCTACCAGAGGGAGTTGCAACAGAGGTTAATATGTGGAGAATGGCGGCAGGCCTCAACAACCCGAAGCCCGCTCCAAAACAAGCTCCTATGAATAGGAAACAAGATCGCAACTGGAGTAAAAGCTCAACCCCCGCTGTGACAAACAAACTAGAGCCTGGCAGAAGAGATCCCACCCTTGTCTTGCTAAGAGTGGTGGCTGCCTACTGGACTGCAAATTTTACGATTACATCTCCCGGGTTGCGGAAAAGGGGTTATAGGCCCTCTTCAGTTTTGCAGGATGAACTTAACTCATTTAACAAAGGTGAAGAAGACGAGAATCGGTTTGGTGAGAAGATTCGGAATTTGAGCGAATTTCGGGAACACGCTCGCCGTTTGTGTGGATCTCGCGATGTTGGTGCTCAACTATTCACGGCGCTGCTGAGAGCGATTGGCCTGGAGGCAAGGATGGTGGCAAGTTTACAGCCTATTGGATTTGGGTGGACGAAAGTTGAAAACTACAATAGCACAGATGAGACAGTGCAAAATCGCTCCGCAGAAAGTGAGGAAGGCTCTTCCAACGGAGAATCGCGAATCAGGTCGAGGAAAAAGCCTAAGACTTTCGACAAGGTGATGGATGAAGATCCCCGATTTCCGACATATTGGTCTGAAGTTGAGTCACCATTTACCCAAGAAATCATCCCCGTCGAATCTCTAGTTTTGCCTAACTCAGTTGCCAAAACGCCGGAACTCCTGGCAGCATTTGAACCGAGAGGAGCCAAAGCTGAAAAAGCGAAACTGGTTATTGCATATGTCGTTGCTTACTCACCTGACGCGACGGCGAAAGATGTTACGATCAGGTATCTCAGACGACAAATGTGGCCCGGAAAGACAAAGGGATTTCGAATACCGGTTGAAAAGCCGGTTGATACCGGATTGGGCACTGGGCCTTACGCATATGACTGGTTTAAAGCTACAATGAGGGGATTTGTTCGCCCAAGGGATAAACGAACGGCGGTGGATGAAAAAGAAGATTCAGATCTAGTGGCTAGACAGCCGGAGAAGAAAGCACCAAAAGAAGGGGACACCTTGCAGAGCCTTCGAACATCTAAAGACTTTGTATTAGAACGATTTTTACGTCGAGAGGAAGCAATTCGTCCTGGCGCATGTCATGTGAGGACCTTTGTTTCCGGCAAGGGTACGAAGCAAAAGGAAGAAAAGGTCTACCGGAGATCGGACATCCAAAAATGCTTATCATCGGAGAGTTGGCATAAGGAAGGGCGACGAATCAAGCTTGGGGAAACACCGTTGAAACTCGTTCCCATCCGAGCTGTCACGCTGAATCGGAAGCGCGAGGTGGATGAGATGGAACGAGAAACCGGTGAGAAGCCGAAGCAAGGTCTCTATGCGCTGGATCAAACGGAATATATAATACCAGACCCAATAAAAGGTGGGAAAATTCCAAAGAACGAGTACGGAAATATCGACTGTTTTACTCCGTGGATGATTCCCAAGGGGGCCGTGCACATTCCATGGCCGAGCACTGTTCGGGTGTGCAAAAAGCTCGGAGTTGAATATGCAGAGGCGGTCACTGGTTTCGAGTTTGGCAGTAAGATGGCGGTGCCCGTTATTCAAGGAGTGGTAGTGGCGGCCGAGAACGAGGGCCTTGTCAAAGATGCCTGGCGAGCAGAAGATGCTCAGAAGCGAGAGAGGGAGAGATTGAAGCAGGAAAAGCTCATCCTTTCGACTTGGAGAAAGTTCATCATGGGCCTTCGAATATCGGAACGTATTCAGGAGGAATATGGGAATGCTGTGGAAGCAGAATCTCATAACCCCTTCGTCAACCGAAGAAATCTACAGCCATCTGACGAGGACCATATCCAAGGAAATGAAAGAGATTTTCAAGAAGGCGGTGGCTTCCTAGTCCATGGTGAGGATGCGGCGGAACATGACCATCTGAACTTTCAGGAGCCACGTTGCGAAGCTGAAGGAAGCAAGGAATTGCCGATAATGCTGGAGGATGACAGCTCTGAATTAAGTGAAGTTGAATCTCTTGAATCAGAGCCGCCATGAGGAGGGAAAATGCAAGAGCCGGATAGACAAAGCACTAAGGGTGATGTTATTTTCGGCCCTGTTTGTTGATGCTGTGATGGCATGAATGTGTATTTTACAACCAGCAATATCTCACTAACACTAGCATTGGAAATAATTCATTTCATCTATCATGCTCTGCCAGATCATGTTATTGTACATTAGTATGTACTCATTGTGGCCTCTTGAGGCAAAATATTATAGTTACTGCTGAACTGGATGTCGACATCTCGGCATGACAAAATCGCCTCCAACAATTCCCAGCTTCAACATTTACACGTTAAATACTTCTGCCTCAGGATAATTTTGCTATTCAGAAGATTTCATGACCATGGCCCTAGCACCAAAAAATCCCGTATATTTCGGGCCTTTCATAGTGACTTCGCAGGTAAGTTCTATCTCGTGTCGCATCCCTCCAACAACTCAATATTGCCGCCACATCTCCTCCACAAACCCAGAGACGAGCATCAAAGTCTAACATACCCACCAATTTCCAAAACAGGTCTTTTTCATGACCTCCATGACCTTCGCACTCGTGAATCTCAAACCCCTTCTCCCCGGCCACGTCCTCGTCTCTCCCATCCGCAATGTCCCCCGCGTCTCCGACCTCACAGCCGCAGAAAGCGCAGACCTCTTTCTCACCGTGCGTCGAGTCGGCCGGATGGTCGAACGTGTCTTCGAAGCCTCCAGCCTCAACATCGCGATCCAAGACGGCATAGACGCCGGTCAGAGCGTGCCACACGTCCACGCGCATGTAATTCCGCGACGGAAAGCAGATTTAGACCATAAGGGTGGGTCGGATGCGATTTACGGCATGTTGGATGGGGAAGAGGGGCATGTTGCGAAACATATGGTGGAGATAATTGAGAGGAGGAGTCGGATAAAGTTTCCGGCGGTCGATGAGGAAAGTAGAATGCCGAGGAGTGTTGAAGAAATGAGGGAGGAGGCGGAGTTGTTGGCAAAGGAGATGGAGAGAGAGCCCTTGGATTGAAGTATGAGAGTGAAGTGGGATGAAAGAATTAAACTACTTGAAAAGAGACCCATGATTGAACCGGCTGGTGGGATTCTCTTCTCCACAAAGATACTATTGCGCAAGGAGAGGTGGAACTACAGTAAAGGCAAGGACAATGTCGGACATAAAGGGTCAATAATTGACTGAGAAATCTATGACTGAGGTCATGAAAACAAGGCCCGTAGCGTCAATAAAAGAACCCAGATGGCCTCCCAAGGTGCTTTTCTACCAAACACCAACCTGGTCTTTTGATAGTTAAAGAGATATGAGTGAATCCAGCATCCTATTCTCATTTATCCGAGAATAGACCACAGAAAGAAAAAAAACCATCAAGAGCCATGAAGGGGTGGAGCACCGCCTTTGCCCGTCCAGAACATTTCTCTCTCTTTCATCACAGCTTCCGCCCATTCTTTGACTTCAGGGAGCTGAATGCGTTTCATCACGCCATAAAACTCCGTTAACTGAACCTGCCCGCCATGTGTCCGCTCATATTCTATGGTTTGTAGTATCAATTCCATTTTGTCTATGTCATGAACGAATTTGGCCTCCAGAGTCTCATTATCTTCGTATTCTTGGAAAACTGTCCGGAGGCTTTCTCCCGCTGAACCACCGTATACTCCGCCCAGCAAGGTTTTGGCAATATACTCCATAACTTCAGCTTCACGGCGTGCTTTCTCAGCTTTCGTTATGTTGATATCTACCGGCGTTATATCTCCGACCACCGACTCCGCCATATCGTGAACTAGGGCCATCTTCGTGCAGTGCGGTATGTTAAGTTTCTGGGCTAGGGATGGTGGCGCGAGCATGGTCATGACTGCCATTCGATACATATGATCCGAAATGGATTCGCCATCCTTGATGCCAAATCGGCGCCAACCTTCTCGCTTGGTTGTTTTTAGACGTTCCAGAAGGTGGAAAAAGGGAATTGGGGAGGAGGAATTTTCGACTGGGGGGTGAGGGAAGCTAGCAATTACTAGAATGAACAACTGTTGGTTAGCGCAGTAGTGACATTGGGGTTGAAAGTCGAGATATAGAATTGTAAACAAAATAGTTATCTGCGATGAACCACGTACCTGATTGCGCTCGCCATGATGACGCTTCATCTGCAGGTTGAGAACCCATTATCTCAGCTTGTCAAAAGGGCAGTTTGAGAAGGATAAAAACCAAAAAGCT